GAAGTTTATTAGTAGAATAAAAACAACTATATTAAGTCTAATTGTTGGAGTTAATTTAACCAAAAATAACAAAAACAAAGAACCGGTCAAGGGAGTTGAACATCTTCTACACTAACAAGAAAGTTGCAGAGTCGTTATAGGAGTTATCTATAAATTAAACAAATGTTGGACTAAAACATATTGAAGTGTTGATGTTATTGAGAGAGGCAAGCCTCTTGAACTTTTCTTAAAATCTTGTATTTATGGGTCTCCATAACCAAAGCTGTTGCTAGAAATCTGATTTAATCATGATTTTCTACAACTATTCTATTATCATGTTTGACTATCAAAGGAATCTCAACAGTTTTGAATCCTTCCTTGTAAAATAGATTTTTTCCATGTTAATTAGTTACTAGAAACAAAATTTTGGTTGCTGAAAATTCCTAAAATTAGGCTTGTTGGAACCAATTTTGATTTTCCTCAACTAAATTGAACTGCTCAACAATATTTCAATAACTCTGATTTTATGGACCAACTAAGCTCTCCCCCTTGATTTCTGCTATGGTGGAAAAAAATTCATTGCACCAGAATTTTTGCTTACCGTGGTATGTGTCACACCAAATCATGACTATTGATTATATGTGCATTTTCAATTGTATGGAAAAAATTGTGGCCATTGGATCTCCAATATAAGGACACATGACATTATTAAGAAAATTGTTAAATGTTGTGTAAATAACGCTCATAATAGGATTGTCTTATTGTGTAACTCAAAATTAAAAAAGAAAAAGAAATCATTGATAAGAGGTACATAGCTTCAAGGATTTTATTTTCAATTCGTTTTCCCATTTTGGTCCTTTTTTTATTAGCATTATTTTCTTTTCAGTCCCTTGATTTAATAAAAGGGCATAGTAGATAAAACCTTTTTTTTTTTTTTTAGAGAACATAAATTCATTCATCAAGTAATAAAAATTCATAAGCGTTACAGATTAATTCAGTATAGTGCACCAGAAACACTATATAATCTAACCTTAAAAGTGTAAAATAATTGATTAAGCATTTATAATAGAGCAA